CTTGCCTAGGGCAGCCCGAAACCAGAATACACCACTGTATACGCCCTCAAAATGGGGTGAATTGATTTTCAAAGTTCTACCCCCCCCCGTTCTAAAGTTTAAATTTGAGCCGAACACAGGGGGGTGTTCGGCCCATCACTAGTCATTAGAGCACCGACCATATTACTTGTTATCTTAAAAGATGACAGTTATTGCCAAATAAACAGCCCCAGGAGGTGGAAACATTGCCCTGCTCCATAAGGGGAGCCTGTGGGGGGAGGGGGGGTGCACTGGTTAATTTACAAAATGTTTTCTATAGCAAACATATCTATATCTGTATATCTGTGTGTGTATATCTGTATATCTGTGTGTATATATACTGTATATCTGTATATCTGTGTGTGTATATCTGTATATCTGTGTGTATATATACTGTATATCTGTATATCTGTGTGTGTATATCTGTATATCTGTGTGTATATATACTGTATATCTGTATATCTGTGTGTATATATATTTAAATCTATATCATAAAAAAATGATGTTTTTGAACAATCTGAAATAGTTTTTGTTCCATTTACTCACTTCTAGTGACACCGAGTTTTTGCCCCATTTTTCGGTGGACAGTTCGAATATGACGTCACCATTGGAGTCTGTGACAAAAGTTTCTTTATTCTCTTCTCCATCGTAACGAGCTCTGATGTGAACTTTCTTCAAAGCGATGGGATGGCCCTCAAAGGAAGTCAATGACATCTGATATCACACAGAGAACAGAAAAGAAAATGAAAATCAATTTAGTCTGCAAAGGGTCATCATTGGAGATGAGGGGAGGGAATTGGAATCATTGGAGATGAGGGGAGGGAATTGGAATCATTGGAGATGAGTGGAGGGAATTGGAATCATTGGAGATGAGCGGAGGGAATTGGAATCATTGGAGATGAGCGGAGGGAATTGGAATCATTGGAGATGAGCGGAGGGAATTGGAATCATTGGAGATGAGAGGAGAGAATTGGAATCATTGGAGATGAGCGGAGGGAATTGGAATCATTGGAGATGAGCGGAGGGAATTGGAATCATTGGAGATGAGCGGAGGGAATTGGAATCATTGGAGATGAGCGGAGGGAATTGGAATCATTGGAGATGAGTGGAGGGAATTGGAATCATTGGAGATGAGCGGAGAGAATTGGAATCATTGGAGATGAGCGGAGGGAATTGGAATCATTGGAGATGAGCGGAGGGAATTGGAATCATTGGAGATGAGCGGAGGGAATTGGAATCATTGGAGATGAGCGGAGGGAATTGGAATCATTGGAGATGAGCGGAGGGAATTGGAATCATTGGAGATGAGTGGAGGGAATTGGAATCATTGGAGATGAGCGGAGGGAATTGGAATCATTGGAGATGAGTGGAGGGAATTGGAATCATTGGAGATGAGCGGAGGGAATTGGAATCATTGGAGATGAGCGGAGGGAATTGGAATCATTGGAGATGAGTGGAGGGAATTGGAATCATTGGAGATGAGCGGAGGGAATTGGAATCATTGGAGATGAGCGGAGGGAATTGGAATCATTGGAGATGAGTGGAGGGAATTGGAATCATTGGAGATGAGGGGAGGGAATTGGAATCATTGGAGATGAGTGGAGGGAATTGCAATCATTGGAGATGAGCGAAGGGAATTGGAATCATTGGAGATGAGGGGAGGGAATTGGAATCATTGGAGATGAGGGGAGGGAATTGGAATCATTGGAGATGAGTGCAGGGAAATAGAATCATTGGAGATGAGCGGAGGGAATTGGAATCATTGGAGATGAGTGGAGAGAATTGGAATCATTGGAGATGAGCGGAGGGAATTGGAATCATTGGAGATGAGCGGAGGGAATTGGAATCATTGGAGATGAGCGGAGGGAATTGGAATCATTGGAGATGAGCGGAGGGAATTGGAATCATTGGAGATGAGCGGCCCCTCTAGACATCTAGCCTGCGACAACATTGCTGCTTCTTGTACTTTGTGCTCACCTTTCCTCTGTACGGCACTCCCGGTAGGAAATACGACTTTGTGTCCTTGAATGATAGTTTGGTGAGCTGGGACTCAAGTTTGATGGATTTGGCTGCACTGAACTTCACTCCTGTAGGTGGTCAAGACACATCAAATGGTCAGAAAATAGCTAAGAGATTTTGTATTTTTATTTAACTAAAATGAAATGTTTCGGGAAATCATTGACACGAGAAATGCGTCGTACGCCCTTACTGAAATCCTCACTCCCAGGCACTTAAAAGCAGAGGCAATTAATAACGGAATATTAGACCGATCTAGTTTATCCGGCATTGGGTCAACTGGAACTAGCACTGATTTCCCCCAATTGATACATAAGCCAGAATATGTCCCACATTTTGAGACTGTTTCCATAGCCGCTGATAAAGAATGACTTCTATCAGATAAAAATAACAGCATGTCATCTGCATATAAGCAATTTTCTCCTCCTGGTCTCCCCGTTTGAACCCCCTCACTAACTTTGTTTGCCTGATTAAAGCCGCCAGTGGTTCTACAGCAATTACAAATAGCAAGGGGGAAACAGATATCGCTGTCTGGTCCTCCTTGTCATCTCAAACGCCGTAGACTGCATACCATTAACTTTGACAGATGCCCTTGGGTTGGCATATAATATGCAAATCCATTTAATAAAGTAGGTCTCAAAACCAAATTTCACCATAACCTCCAGGTAGCCCCATTCCACACTATCAAATGCTTTCATAGTATCTAAAGCTAATAGAGTGTGGTCACCTGGATAGTCAGTAGTGGCCTGAATATTAAGAAAAGTGCGTCTGATATTAATAGCTGTAGAAAAATTGGGCATAAAACCCGTTTGATCGAGATGAATGAATTTCATCAATGAAACTGCTAAATTACTCATCCACTCGCTTGTTATCTCTCGTCTTGACTATTCTAACTCCCTCCTCATTGGCCTTCCACTACACAGGCTCCTCCCCCTTCAGTCTATCATGAATGCAGCTGCTAGACTCATCCACCTGACCAACCGCTCAGTGTCTGCAACCCCCCTCTGCCAATCCATAAATAGCCCAGAGGATAACATTCAAAATATTAACAGTCACTTACAAAGCCGTCCACAACTCCGCCCCCGGCTATATCTCCAACCTTGTCTCAAAATTTCACCCAATCCATCCACTCCGCTCATCACAAGACCTCCTGCTTTCCAGCTCCCTTGTCAACTCCTCCCATACTCGCCTCCAGGACTTCTCTAGAGTCTCTCCCATCCTCTGGAACTGTTTACCCCAACCTGTCTGTCTATCTCCCCCCTTGACTGCTTTTAGGCGTTCCCTAAAGACTCATCTCTTCAGGGAAGCCGATCCCACCTCAACCTGACCACTCAACCATCACGTTCTCAAACAAATCATCCCCACACAGCTACCTCCTCATGTATCACTTGCCCCTCACTTTTAGATTGTAAGCCCTCAGGGGCAGGGCCTTCCTTACCATTGTGTCTTGAATTGTATTGTAATTGTACTGTCTTCCTTATATTGTAAAGTGCTGCGCACACTGTTGGCGCCATATACATCCTGTATAATAATAAAGCATTTTCCCCAACTGAATTGCTAACACTTTTGCTAATATCTTAACATCCACTGGCAGCAAAGATAATGTCCTATAAGATTCAATAAATATAGGGTCCTCATCCTTCTTTAATAATAGTATAATTGATGCTTCATACATTGAAGGTGATAACAAGTCTGTGTCAAAGGAATTATTATATGTATCCAAAAGATCTGGCAATAAAACATCCGTATACTGCTCTACAACTTCTACAGGAAGTCCATCTGGGCCAGGAGCTTTATTTCTAGGAACTCCTCTATCCGTAATGGTGCTTCTTACCCCGGCCTCTCTTCTTCCGTAAATTAGGGTAGTTTAATATCATCTAAAAAAATCCATCAACTCGGATGAAGAATATTGGGCTCTAGTTCCCTGAAATAATTCCCTAGAAGCACCTAGAACTTCTATCTGTGCATTTTTTACCTGACTTATCGTATATGGCCCCTATATATGAACTAACTGACTGAGAAGTAACAATATCTGCCAATAACCGACCCGGTCTTTCACCTTCTGCCCTAAAAAGTCTCTTAGGGAGGAACAATTTTTTTATTTATCAATTTCAGCCTTGATAGCAGATTATACTATTCTTATGTATCACCACTGAAACTCCCCTAGCATATTAGGAATATACTGCATGATAGGTGGTCTGCAACCACTGTCTATTAGGTATCTATACTGAGCCTGCAGTAGTATGTGTAAACAAATTATAGATGGATCTGATGCCAGCGATGTGTCCCAAATCATCTGCTTTTTTTAAAGGATCCCCAGACATTCCAAGATATTATCATTAACTTAGACCCCATTCCCTTCTATTAACCAAGCAACATTAACAAATCTGGGTCAGCTTGTTTCTTTCCAAATCCTACATATTTGTATTGTGTTTGTACTGTAGCTCAGCTCTACCTACTGGGCCCTATTTGTATCATGCACAAACAAATGATATACAAAGTCTGTCTTTTAGCTTAATGATAGATGGCTTCTACATAGAACTGAATGGGATTGTTCTACACATAAGCAACATTTCTACACCAGAAGAAGCAGAAGTGAGGTACTAAAATGTTAAATATACTAGTACAGCTGTCATTTAAAAATACCTTTCCTAAAATAGCTGATGACCAGGATGTCTCAGGGTTATGTCATCAAGTCTGAGACATTGGTCACTGGGATTTTCAAATGCGTATGAGCTTGTGATGTTCACACAGAACAAACCAATCAGGAGCTCCACTTTAACCCTGCACCTCACCCCTTATTTATTACCTCAGTACCTCAGCACTGGTCACCCAACATAAAGCCAAAAGTTGCCAGCAAGAATGTTTTTTGTTTTAAAGGTAAAGCAACATATACAGGTTTAGTATAAGAGAAGGTTTTTATCCCCTAAATTTATTTTTACTTGAAAATGCACCAAAATGAGTTGAAACACCCAAAGGTGCCCAGGAACAACCAAAACTCCAAAAGGCAGGTGGGAACACAGTCATGAGCAACAGTGTGAGATCTTACTTCTGAAGATCCTAGTACATACAGAACGCTAGTAGGTGATTCAGATAATGCGCTTGTGCCTGTAAGTGAAATATCATTCAGGATAAATGGATTATTTAAATAAGAAATGTGCCAAACTCTGTTACCCTATTGGTAGGTTTCTACCTGTGGAGTGAGGGGCCAGCTCTTGAGCTATAACATGACTCATGCCAAGGGCATTGGGTTATCTCTCACCTAGCAAGTAGGTGTGCTCTGGCATTCTACTGTTGACTTAGTTAGCAGCAAAATTAGAGGTCCCCCCAGAAAGTTAGTGATGAGCATTCAGGTCAATCAGAAAGGCTAAAATAAGGTATTTGTTGGTGGTTTTTAAAAGGTACAAAGGACTGTCAACTATCAAGGATATTTTCTTGTCTCAATAAAAAGCCCCAACATTGAAACTTTAAGAACAATGCTAGTCCTAACCAGGGCCGGCCTTAGGGGTGTGCGAGCCGTGCAGCCGCACAGGGCGCCATGGCAACAAGGGCGCCGTGCGGCCGTCACAGCTCGTCCTGTGGGCGGCTTCTCTCCCCCTCACCGCTGGCCATCCGAGTAAAGCTTTCTCGCACAGGGCGCCTAAAGGCCTAAGGCCGGCCCTGATCCTAACCTCTTTAAGAACAAACCTAACCCTAACCCCAAATCTACCCTAATGCTTTACCTAAGGCTGGTCCATAACTTCAACCCTAACACCATCCCTATTTCTAACCCTAACTCTGACCCTAATGCTAGCCTTATTTCTGAACCTAATGTTAACCCCAACTGTGACCCTAAAACTAACCGAAATACTAAACCTAAATCTAAATAATGCTAACCCTAACTTTGACCCTAACACCAGCCCTAGTCATAACCATAACTCTGACCATAACACTAGCCCTAATTGCGACCTGACCCTAACACTAACCCAAACTCTGATCCCAGAGTAATTTCACTGCAAAATCTATTTCAGCTAAATCACTGAACCTAACCATAACCCTCTGGAACAGAGATGCACCATAATCCTAATGCTAATCCTATCCCTAACTCTGACTCTAACACTAATTCTGATCCTAATGCTAATCCTCTGATCCTATCACGGACCTTACCCTATGGCCCTAGCACTAACCCTCATACTAATCCTAACTCTAACCCTAACTCTGACCCTAACACTAAAAAAAAATAAGTCTGACCCTAATAATTGCCATAACACTAACCTTAAATCTGGCATAAATCAAGAATTTCCTTTAAATAAAAGTTGTCCAAAATGTCTTGTCAAGCTTCCTTGCCCTGTATAATTTATTTTGCTAAGAGCATCTCTATTCCACATTTGGCTCACCTGTACCCTCTTCCTCCACAACGATATCTATGGTCAGCTCTCTAGCGTAGTCTGAGCTCTGCAGATTGAATTTCCCCAGATCCAAAAAACATTGCATCTTTCCAGTCTGGTCAGTCTGTGAAGAAGAGAGAAGATGATTATGTTACTGAGGTTACATAGTAAGTTTAACAAAGCTCCTGTCTGCTTCCTATAAAGTGAGGCAAAACACGGTCAGAGAAGAATCCATCTTCATGGAGAAAAAATATTCACTTTTACCTAACGGTTTCTTTAAAGCACGGGAACACTTTCACACTTGTTAATTACATTTAGTAACCCTAACCCTAAGTGACATTATAGTCAGATCAAAGCTAATTCATTTTATCTGCTATTGAACGAAACACAATGTTACTTTGTATCTCTCTATCTCCTCTGATCAATGTTTATATACAATGTTACTTTGTATCTCTCTATCTCCCTCTGATCAATGTTTATATACAATGTTACTTTGTATCTCTCTATCTCTCCCTCTGATCAATGTTTATATACAATGTTACTTTGTATCTCTCTATCTCCCTCTGATCAATGTGTATATACAATGTTACTTTGTATCTCTCTATCTCCCTCTGATCAATGTTTATAAACAATGTTACTTTGTATCTCTCTCTGTCAGGGTACCATGCACAGGCGTCCTCACACCACATGCAGGTACCCACGCAGGATGACCAAATTGATATGCCCACACTGGATAGGGTTATATGCACACAGTTTATTTGTACACAGCAAACAAAACTACAAACCCCATCAACCCCCCACATGTTTAGCAGTGAAATAACAAAAACCACGGTTGGAACAAACACACCTACAGCCAGGGGAACAGCAACAAGGAGGGGTAACAAGACTGCAGATAGACAGCAGGCCTCAGGATACAGGAAGAGTGGTCAGGTACAAGCCGGGTCAGTGACAGGTTTGCAGATGGGTTCAGGTAGCAGGGTTCAGGTAGCAGGGTTCAGGTAGCAGGGTTTAGGGAGCAGGGTTCAGGAAGCAGGGTTCAGGTAGCAGGGTTTAGGGAGCAGGGTTCAGGTAGCAGGGTTCAGGGTTCAGGAAGCAGGGTTCAGGTAGCAGGGTTCAGGTAGCAGGGTTCAGGAAGCAGGGTTCAGGAAGCAGGGTTCAGGAAGCGGGGTTCAGGTAGCAG